GGGGGCGGGCGTCCCGGAGGAGGGCGGGGAGACCTGGGCGGGGCTTGTCCCGTGGGCTGGGCGTCCCGGGGTGGGCGGAGAGACCTGGGCGGGGCTATCCGGGGGGCGGGGTCTAGAGGGTCGGCGGCGGACTCGGGCCGGGCTCGGCGCGTCGGCCCAGGAGGGCGACTTCCGAGGTGTTGAGCGCCCGCGGGGCGCATGGGGCAGGCGAGCCATGGGAAACCGCAGCGCGGCGGACTCGGGCGAGCTCCTAGGGGCGCACGGGCAGGGGGCCGGCGTCCCGGGCGCAGCGGCAGCGCTGGTGGGGGGCGTGCTGCTCATCGGCGCAGTGCTCGCGGGAAACTCGCTGGTGTGCGCGAGCGTGGCGTCCGAGCGAGCCCTGCAGACGCCCACCAACTACTTCATCGTGAGCCTGGCTGCTGCGGACCTCCTCCTGGCGCTGCTCGTGCTCCCGCTGTTCGTGTACTCCGAGGTGAGCCCGCCGCCGCCGCGCCTGCGTCCCCGGGCTGAGGACGCCTCAGGCGGGAGCGGAGCCCTTCCGCTTCCCGGGGACCTGGGCTTGGAGCAAGGACCCTGCGCTGGGTCCCAGGACGGCTGGAGCCCGACCCTGCGGCCCCTCAGCCGCTTGGCCGTCTGTCTCCTCCCTCTTGGGTCCCTCTTCTTCCCTTCGTCTCTGTCTCAGCGTCTGTTGCCCTAGAAAAGCCTCCTTGCTTCAGTCAGGGACCCCGGGAACAGGCGACTTTGTCAGTCGAGCTCCCCCTGTTGTGTGCCCAGCGGGATTCAGCTCTCCAAGGGAGCCAGCTGGGGCACAGGCAGATGCAGGCTGAGCCCGGGCCCTGCTGCCCTGGGCACGCACGCACACACACATCACTGCACCCGGGCCAGTCAGACCCGTCGGTGAAGGATCACAGAGGGACTCAGCCTGAAGTGTGGGGACGCGTGGTGGCTGCAGTGGAGGGAGGGCAGGTGTGATGGGGCATCAGAGCCCAGGAGAGGGCAGGGCGGGGTGGGCAGAGCCCCCGTTGGGGACCTGGGGCTCAGGACCCTCCACCCCCAGACCAGCTCTGGCCTCTGCACGGTCCACTTGGGTGTCAGCCTCCCTCAGCTGCGAGTTTGGGCAGAGAAAAGCGGCTTAAGGCTGGGCTGGGGACATGCTGACCTGGCAGAGGGGGGAGGGGGTGGTTTTTCTCAGGTGGACACCACCATTCCAGGCTGGCAGGACAAGGACACACATGACCTGCCCTCCCCCAGCCTCGCACAGACATCACGGTAATGGCTTAAGCTCCTAATCATCCCAAGTCACTGAGAGGGGATTTAGAAGGGGAGGAGACTGCTCCTTTGTCCTTGGGGGCCCAGGCCCCCCCTTCATGGTGCCTGCTGGCCCTGGGCCAGGCTCTTTGCTTCAGTATCCTCAGGAGGGTTTATGCATCACTCTCCTACCATCACCCTCATTTTCTAGGCACCTGAAGGAACTTAGTCAAAGTCCCACACCCAGACAGTTAGCCGACAGTTTGACGTTTAGTGCCACTCGGGGGGGGAGGCCAGCCTCGGGCTCCGGGGCTGACCAGGGTCCCCACCTGCCTGGGCTGGGATGCCTTGGCCCCAGCCCGGCGGCCCTTCTGCACTCCGAGCCCTGGGTCAGCAGAGGTCAGTGCTTGCTGGGGAGGCTTGACCTCCTCCCTTGCTCCCCCCAGTGTCCCTGCAGGCCTTTGTCATCTTCGGACAACAAAGAGAAGTCAGGGTGCAGAGCTTGGGGTGCACGGCTGAGTATGTGTGCACAGGGGCTGTGGGCGCTCTGGCTCCCCTTTCCCGCTGATATTCAGCCCCCTTCCACAAAGCAGGGTGTGGAGGACTGCGCCTGCGGGCTGCGTCCTGGTGGTGGTTGGTTGCACTGGTGGCCTTCCCAGGTCCAGGGTGGTGTGTGGCTGCTGGGCCCCAGGCTCTGCGACGCGCTCATGGCCATGGACGTGATGTTGTGCACCGCCTCCATCTTCAACCTCTGCGCCATCAGCGTGGACAGGTGGGTGCGCCCCCGCCCGCCGCCCGCCCTCTGCCCACCCCTCGTCCCTCACCGCGCGCCCCGCAGGTTCGTGGCCGTGGCCGTCCCGCTGCGCTACAACCGCCAGGGCCGGGGCGGCCGGCAGCTGCTGCTGATCGGCGCCACGTGGCTGCTGTCGGCCGCCGTGGCGGCGCCGGTGGTGTGTGGCCTCAACGACGTGCGCGACCGCGACCCGGCCGCGTGCCGCCTGGAGGACCGCGACTACGTGGTCGTCTCGTCCGTGTGCTCCTTCTTCCTGCCCTGCCCGCTCATGCTGCTGCTCTACTGGGCCACGTTCCGGGGCCTGCGGCGCTGGGAGGCGGCACGCCGCGCCAAGCTGCGGGGCCGCCGGCTGAGCCGAGCCCCGGCTCCCGGCGGCGCCCCAGGCCCGCCCCAGGCCCGCAGGAGAAGGCGCCCCAAGATCCCCGGCCGGGAGCGCAAGGCCATGAGGGTGCTGCCCGTGGTGGTCGGTGGGTGCTGGTGCTCCGCGGCGGGCGGCGGAGGGGCCGCAGGCAGGGCCCCCGCTCACGCTGCCGGCCCCCAGGGGCCTTCCTGGTGTGCTGGACGCCCTTCTTCGTGGTGCACATCACGCGGGCGCTGTGTCCCGCCTGCGCCGTGCCCGCCCGGCTGGTCAGCGCCGTCACCTGGCTGGGCTACGTCAACAGCGCCCTCAACCCGGTCATCTACACCGCCTTCAACGCCGAGTTCCGCCACGCCTTCCGCAAGGCCCTGAACGCCTGCTGCTGACTGGCCTCCGCGGGGCCCTGGCCTGGAAGGCCCCCCACAAGGGGGGCCTTTGGACCGAATTAAACAGAATTCGCCCTAAGCTGTCTGGAAGGTTCCTGGGGGTGCAGGTGGGGTGGCGCTGCTCGTCCAACTGAACCGGAGGAGCCCAGGGCCCTTGAAGACCCCATCAGCCCCTCGGCCCTCCTCTCGCTCCAAGGAAGCTGCCAGCTCCGCTCCTGGCTTGGGTGGGAGGGTTGGACATGGGCTCCGCGCATGGTGGTGAGGCAGCCAGGCTCAGCCCAAGAAGTCCTGGGACAGAGGGGCCCCTGCCCCAGAGGGAGGGGGCCCTGCTTGCTGGATGCCCTGCCCACCTCCCCGGCCAGGTTTCATCCTGGGACCCCTGTGCCCCTCAGTCCTGAACTCAGCATCCTTGCCATGGGACTGAGGGTGGAGAACAGGTTGTACCGGGAGGGGCCCTGTCCTTGTGGGGTGGCTTCTCCTAAGCCTGCTGGTTGCCAAATGGGAAGTCACTGCCCGCCCTGCCCTGAGCCACCATGCAGCCAGCACCTGGCCCAGCCCTGCAGAACCCTTCAGCCACCTGGCCCATCCCCGTCAGCTGCCTTGTGGCCAGGACACCAATCAGCTGTGGCCAAAACCCTGAAGGAGAGGGCCTGGGGCAGGCCCACCCCAGGCCGCCCCTTCCAGGAGCAGCACCTCACAGTACAGGCTGCCCAGCTTCCCTCCGCCCCTGCCTGTCAGACCAGGGCCCCAGCGGAGGGAGGACACTGCAGGGCCAGCTCCTGGTGGGGGAGTGCTGGCTGTCACCTCCGCCCTCTGCCACCTGCAGGGCCTCTGCCCCCCACTTCTGTAGCCTGGGGGCTTTCGCAGTGTTAGGTTTCCAGGCAGTGTTAAAATGTTCCGAGAGGCCTGCACCCCTCCACCTTCCCACCTCAGGTACTCAGCTCATTCTGCTCCCAGGTGCCACCTCCTCCCAGAAGCCTCCCTGCTGCCCAGGTGCCACCTGCAGGGCTGGGGGCAGCACCTCCTCACCTTCCACATGACTGCAGCGAAGCAGACACTGGGTGTGGGGCTCCAGTCCCCTCAGAGAGGGGCTCCAGTACTCAGAGGGGCCCCAGTACAAGGCATGGCACAGACTCGAGGGGAAGGCCGCAGGTCAAGGCCTGCGTGGGTTAGTCTGTGCGGGAGGCTCTGCCTCTGGTCCTGTCCTCCAAGGCTCAGTCCACACACTGCCTTGCGCTCACAGCTCACAGTGGCCAGCCTGACCCTACCTCCAGCCAGGAGCTGCTGGGGGCCCTCTGCTCCAAGGAGGACCTCCGGTCAACCCCAGGAGCCTGGCTCCCTCCCAGCACCATGCGGATGCCCGAGCCTGCAGCGCCCTCAGATTCGGCGGGAGACCAGGGGCCCTTGTGTTCCAAACTTGCCCATCCCGTACCCGTGTCCTGAGATCCTCACAGGTGAGGACAGAGGCAGGCCGGCCTGAGCAGCATCCTCGTCACAAGATGTGGCACCTGAGACATGAACATGGGACATGGGTGCTCTGACAACTCAGGGGTGCTGCCACCTGAGACCAGCACATTCTGAGCATCAGCTGGCCACTGTCCCGCTTACAGTGAGCCCTACGGAAACGACCACACACGTGCTCCTGAGGGAGCTGCCCATTGGCTCCAGAAGACACTCCTCGCCTTGGAAGGGACCCCTCCCTGCGCCTGGATGCTCCAGGTCTGACTTGTTGGCCTGGTTGGCTGGCGTCTTCCACCGAGAGAGGCCAGTGATGGTGGGCCGCATGGACACTGGGCACAGGCTACCTGTGGTGCGGAGGCCTCTGGCCACGGAGTTTCCTGAGCAACTGTGAGTGGGGCCCTGTGATCCTGCCTTGGCTCATGGCCCGGTTAGGGCCTGGACAGAACTGCTGGGCACTGGCCTTGCCCAAGTCGGCCCAGTGCCAGACCACCCAGGGCTCTCGGGTCTGTGCAGTCTGTCAGCTCTAGTGGGGGGCAAACACAGACACCAAGTGGCTCCAGGGTGGTCACACAGACCCCAGGACCCAGACAAATGGGTGGGCACAGTGTTGGGCAGGCTGGCCATCCCGTGGGTCAGCGTCCTTGGGCAGTGGGCAGGAACAGGATAGCACCCCCAGGCTGCCCTGGGGACAGGCCCACCATCCAGCAGAGCAGGGATACCTCAGCTTTATTGACAGACACCATATGCGACACTGGGGAGAAGGGCACTGTGAGGACATGTCACGCCGACGCCTCCTGTCCCCCCCCCGCTGTCCCCTCAGCAGCCCCTCCCGTCTCCAGTCCCTTAGCATGCTCTCTGCTGTCCCCTCCACGTCCCCACCACCATCCCCTCAGCAGTCTCTGCACTGTCCCCTCTCTGGCCACATGATGATGATCAAATGTCCTCCAGGTCCAGGGAGGACTCACGTCGAAGTAAGCGGTCCATCTGATGTCAGTTACTAACTGACGGCAGCAAGTGTCCTTGATGTCCCCTAGGGTCCTCCAGGGGAAGTGTCCCCGGAGGTCCCTCACACGGTGACTTTCTCAATGACGCCCTCATCAACGTGGACCTCATCCGCCTGGACAGTGACCGCTGCCGACTGGCCACACACGTGCTGGTGGTCTTTCCAGTCCTGAAAGAGGCCATTCACTGTTAGGGGGCAAGGCCCAGGGGGAGGGCGGGCCTATGGGGAGAAGAGCCTGGTGGCGGGGCCCACATGGAGGGGTGTGGCTCACAGGGAGAGGGGACCTTCACCCCGCAGCCTCCCACCCAGAAGCTGCACAGCCATGGCTTGAGCAGGCCAGGAGGTTCCTAAGGAGGTTCTCCCAGCATGTGGACCCCAGACCCGTGGTCTCTGCTCCTCCCACCCAGCACTTGGCCTCCCCACTCTTGGTCTTAAGGGATCAGATCAGGGAGGTTGAGCCTTAAGGACTCAGCTGATCCGACATTCGCCCACACCTCTGAGCCAGGTGTTTCACGTCCAGGAATCGACTGGCCGCCACAATTACCTGTGTACAGCACAGCTGCCACCCAGCTACTTGTACGAAACAAGGAGGCGTCGGGGCTGCGGCAGGACAGCGCCACCCAGGGTCTCACTGGGGCTAGGATGCTACCACCCATCCACACGTTGGGACGAGGCCTCGCCCAGGGTCCCACCCACGCTGAGAAGCCGGAGTGGGATGGAGGCCTGCTCAGAGGCAAGAGTGGGCGCTCGTGCTCTGCAGAGCTGCCGGAGAACCTGTGCAATCCCCAGGGGCCTTCGCTGTCCCAGCACAGAATCCAGTTGACCGCCTTCCTCAAACTGCCCTATGTTCCCCAAATGTCCCTCGGTGGGCACACCCTGCTTCTCACGGCGCAATCCCAGAGACTAGCATCCAAACTTGGATCCACTGGCCGGGTACTGCTATGGCAGGGCACTGGCCTCAAGAGCTCCCCGGGGCAGGCTCATGCAATGCAAAGGCACCATTGGCCTCTCCCGGCCCACCTGCCCCAGCGCCCACTCTGCTCTCGGGCTGGAACCACATGGTGCTGTGGGCCAGTCAGCAGGTGGGTGTCTGAGACCCTGTGCCCCACTGGGGGTGAGGCTGGAGTGAGCAGTGGAGGTTCTCTGCCAAGTCCCTGAAGCAAAGGCGAACCCTCAGAGTGGAATTTAAAACCTCAAGTTCTGAATTTAAAGGAACACAAACCTTTTGCATCGTCAATACTGCTTGAAAAGCCAGAACTGGAAATCTGCATTTTACTTTTGTAAAAATGGAAGGGAACTGCAAAACTTGGGCAAAACTAGTAGTGGCACCGCCCAGGACAAAGACGTGGCCAAGGCCATTTATGCAGAAGGGAGTGACTGCCAAGAGCAAGGACTCAGCCACATTGCAGGGTGGACTTGCTTGAGGGTTTTCTGGCCTCGTCCAGGGCAGTGGAGGACGGAGCAGGAGTCAAGATGTTGACAAGGGCCGAGGCTGAGGGATGGCAAGGAGCTTCCTTGCACACCTCCCCAAGCCTGTGAGCACCAACATCCCACAGGTAAGGTGCAAGGAGAGACCCAGTCCCACAGTGGAGTATAAGCAGGCCCCTAGCAAGCTTCCTAGAAGCAGGGCCACACGCAGGATGGCTGTGGCCAGAGCTGGGAAAGCCGCCAGGGAACCCCAAATGGGACCTCCCAACAAGACTGTGTGTGTGCTGCGACAGGGATCCCAAGGAACTGGGAAAGCCGCCAGGGGCCCCTAAAATGGGATCCGCAACAAGACTCTGTATATGCTGCCCCAGGAATCCCCAGGGCCCGGTAAGAACTTTCGACGTTGGTGGCCCTGGACCAGGGAGGAGAACCACTGGGGAGCTAGTCCCGGGAGGCCAGCTGTCTCCAGTGGGTGCTGCTTGGGGGTGAGCTGGGGGCTCACTGATTTTTAGGCTCCATAACTTCCTAGACTTTTGTGTGTGGATCAAGTCTTTTGCAATTAAAAATTTTAAATGATTATTATCTTTTGAAAGGGGGAGGATGTTGGGAATTTATTCTTCCATCTTCTGTTTTTTCAAGTTATAAATTTAACAAAAGTTATGTGAAGTGTACTTGGAAGAAGTGTGACTTATGGTTAAAGAAGACAAACAAGGCAGAGGCAGAACTGCAGACGCACTTCGGAGGAAGGGCCCAGGGAGGCCAGCGGTCGGGTCGGAGGGCAGGCGAGGCACCGGGACTGGAAGAACAGCACCCCAGCATCCCAGTGCGTGTTAGGGTTCCCGTGCACAGTGTCCGTGGGCCAGCAATGCACACCCTCGTCCCATGCCACATACGTCTTAGCCACAGCTTTCTCTACCTAGGGCAGCCCTTCCCTTTCTCCACTGACATCATGGTAAGTTAAGATCCATACCGTACCAGAGTTTCGGGGGACATCTCGGTCAATTGGCACAACAAAGTCCACAAAGACAATGCCCTACATCCTGTTACAGTGAGTACTGACTGGGTCTTACAAGCTACTGAGCAGTCATCTAAGATGCAACTGTTGGTCTCTCCCCGTCCAGAGCAAAGATTGAAGAAAATCAACGACTCAAGGAAAGAATTAGTCCAAAGGACCAACAGACCACACGGACCCCAGCTCCACTAGTCTGAGACCAGAAGAACTGGATGGTGCCTGGTTATACCACCGGGCACTCTCAAAGGGACCCCAATAAGAGGTCCTGGACAGAGTGGGAGAAAAATGCAGAACAAAATTCAAAATCATAAAAAGGACCAACTGACTGGTCTAATAGAGACTGGTGGAACCCCTGAGACTGTGGCCCTTAGACACCCTTCAAGCCTGGAACAGAACCCACTTCCAGGGATCAAGTCTGCCAGACAATACTGTTAGGTGCCATCCAGTCATCTCCAACTCCTAGTGATCCCGTGGACAATAGAACGAGACACTGCCGGTCCCGTGCCAGCCTCACGACCCCTGCTACACCCGAGCCCATCGTTGCAGCCACTGTGTCAGTCCATCTCATTGAGGGCCTTCCCCTTTTTCATCGACCCTCCACTTTACCAAGCATGACATCCTTCTCCAGAGAATGGTCCCTTCTGGCAACATGACCAAAGTAGGTGAGACTAAGTCTGGCCGTTCTCGCTTCCAAGGAACATTCCAGCTGCACTTCTTCCAGGAAAGATGTTAGTCCTTTTAGCAGTCTATGGTATTTTCAGTATTCTTCACCAATACTACAACTCAAAATATCACCTTTTCTTTGGTCTTCCTTATTCATTGTCCGGCTCTCACATGCATGTGGGGCTATTGAAAATACCATGGCTTGGGTCAGGTGCACCTTAGTCTTCAAAGAGACATCTTTGCTCTTCAGCACTCGAAAGACGTCATTTTATTTTTTATTTTATTGTGATCTGGGTGAAAGTTTACAGAGCAAATTTACTTTCCATACAGCAGTTCACATACACTTTGTCCCATGACATTCACTACCGTCTACTCCCATTCAACAGCTCCCCTCCCATTTCCTCCCGACAGTCACCTCTTCCCTGCGTCCATTCCTCTGTGCACTCTTACCCCCTGAGCTGTCTCCTTGTGCATAAACAGCCCTTCTTTCTCCCATGATTATTCTCTCCAACGAGTATATCTACCTCAGCTAATGTTCAAATCATATGCCTATCTTTTGTTCGGCTGGAAGCCACAGGTGTGGGTTTAATTCCAGACCTGAAGGGCAGCTAGGGACCATAGTCTCTGGTTCCACCAGACTCTATCAGACCAGCAAACCTGGTCCTCCCTTTTTTTTCCCAAATGATTTTGCATGTTGTTCCACATTGTTCTCCCTCTCTATCCAGGATCTCCTACATAATCCCCCTCTGAGTGGTTGACAGTGGTAGTGAGCACCATCTAGTTCTTCTGGTCTCATAGTTGTAGAGGCTGAGGATTGCATAGTGTACCAGTCGCCAGAACTAACTGTTTCCATGAATCTCTGGTTTCCTTCATTCTTCTTTGCTCTGGACGAGAAGAGACCCATCATTGCATCAAGATGGCTGCTTGGAAGCTTTTAAGATCCCCACTTGAAAAATGTCTTTTGTAGCAGATTTTCCCAGTGCAATATGACATCTCATTTCTTGACTGCTGCTTCCGTACGTGCTGATTGTGGATCCAAGTAATATGAAATATTGCTGCTTACTGGTCCAGTTGTGAGGACTTTTGTTTTCTTGATGTTGAGGTGTAATCCATACTGCAGACTTTAGTCTTTAATTTTTATCAGTAAGTGCTCTAAGTCATCCTCATTTTCAGTAAGAAAAGTTGTGTCATCTGCGTATCTCAGGTTGGTAATGAGTCTTCCTCCAATCCTGATGCCATGTTCTTCTTTATATAGTCCAGCTTCTCAGATTATTTGCTCAGCATACAGATTGAACAGTATGGTGAAAGGATACAGCCCTGACACACTCCCTTCCTGATTTTAAACCATGCAGTATCCCTTTGTTCTGTTCGAACAACAGCCTCCTGGTCTATGTACAGGTTCCTCGTGAGTACAATCAAGTGTTCTGGAATTCCCATTCTTCTCAATGTTATCCATAATTTGTTATGAGCCACACAGTTGAATGCTTTTGCACAGTCAATAAAACACAGGTAAACATCTTTTTGGTATACTTTTCAAACAAGATCCATCTGACATCAGCAATGATATCCTTCATTCCACGTCCTCTTCTGAATCCAGCTTGGATTTCTGGAACTTCCCTGTCAACATACTGCTGCAGCCATTACCAAACAACAGACAGATCTATGACGTGAACAGTAACACCTCCCATCATAATGCTCCTCATCCTCAAAACAAGCCACGAGAGACCAAAGGGCAGCACCTGCCACAAAGGAAGCTCAGAGGCAGGAAAGGCTGGGAAGGACGGGCAGACGGAAATGGGGAACCCGGGCTGGAGGTGGGAAGAGGGCTGTCACATCAAGGGGATTGCAACCAATACCACGAAACAGAACGTGCATGAACTAAATGGGAAAGCAGCATGTTCTGTCACCTTTCACCCAAACCACCAAAAAGTGCTAAATGAAACCAACCAGAAGGAAGCTGGAGGAGCTCCAGACAAAAAAAGACGACACAGATTTTAATTAAAACAAAAACCTTTCACCAGAGACAAAGAGAGACATAGTATAATGTCATCAGGATACAGCAATT